ACTGTTTCAGTTAATGACTTACAATGCTGAAAACAGGATCATTTAAATAAAGACTAAGAGCATTATTTTGCAAATAAGGTATTGGGATCTGCTTGCTGGTATAGGAGTTGACTGCTTGCTAGATGTTTTGTCATCACTTGCTAGCACAACTTCCTGCAGCATTAGCTAATTGCTAACTCTTCTACCAACTGGGGTGGTAGAAGAGCTTCTCACTTTTTATCTTTGTTCCCACATCAACCAACCAACTCCTTTGATATTAATCAATTGATATGCATAAAATGTCAGCCTGATCTTTCTTCTAAAAACTGGGCCAGAAAAGAGTAATTTTTCCTAATGGATTTGCTAGTTTATCTGAATTTGTTGAGCTCTTGGCTAATCAAATCTGTGCATTATTATTTCAATTTTCAATGTGCTCCTTCAGGCAAAGCAAGAACAGTATCACATGCTTTGAATAGTATGTCAAAATTAAACCTTTGGTCTTTTCATTATAATCTTATTTAAAACCACTTCAGTTTGTGTGTGTGTGTGTGTGCATACGTGCACATGCGCCTTTGAGTCAGTGTTGACTCCTGGTAACGGCCTGGACAAATCCCTGCAGGACTTTTTGGTAAAATTTTAGAAGTGGTTTGCCGTTGCCTTCTTCCTAGGGCTGAGAGATAACGAGTGGCTGAAGGTCACCCAGCTGGCTTTGCGCTTAAATCAAGACTGGAACTCATATTTTCCCAATTGCTACCTTGATGCCCTCACCACTACACCAAACTTTTTTTCTTTAGCTTAGCTCAGGGGTGTCCAACCTTGGAACTTTAAGACTTGTGGACTTCAACTCCCAGAATTCCTCAGCCAGCAAAGCTGGCTGAGGAATTCTGGGAGTTGAAGTCCACAAGTCTTAAAGTTGCCAGGGTTGGACACCCCTGGCTTAGCGCTTTGACCATTATGAATGATAATATACAATTTAACAAAAAATGCAGTAGTTCTTCAAGAAGCATTTTGCTAGGGAAACCTGTGGAACAACCTTCTCTAAAACTTGAGAGTTCTTGGAGGGAGCAAGCCAAATTTCTAATTTCTGAAGGAGAAATTTAATCATCTTCAATGCCATATCAGGAAGAACGTTTGGGAGGTAATTTTATCTCTTACAACTATATATGTTTTAGGGATTGGGGAAGAGGGATAATAGTTGCAGTCAACCAACCATTAGGTAGTATGCAATAAATCAATGCGAGTAAAAGTCCTAGCAAGGACAGAATGGTACCGAATAATATATCTATAATAAAAACATGAACTTTATGCCAGATTTTTTTTTCTATTGAGATTATGGTTTACAATTGAATTATGTCTCACCTTTCAAAGAGAAGGAATAAACCTCCAGCTACTTATTCATTTAGTTGCAGATTTAAACTCCTTTCTTTATATTTTATAGATTGCTGCATAGTAATAACATGTGTCCACTCAAACAAGTATATTAAATAAGATTCTGGGTAGCAGACTAATATATAGGAAAATATAATATGGATTTTCTTCAGTAGTTGCAGAATTTGCATTTAATATCTTTGGACAGAATTGCTTTGTGTTGTTATTTTCTTTAATTATTATTTTTCATTTATTTAATAGATGATATTCTACCTTTCTCCTTTGCCATGTAATCAAGGCCACTAACTCCCCCCCCCCCCAAAACAAAGAATATAAACATGAACAACTTATTAAAATAACACTAAAATGGATAAATAATTTAATAGTTAAAAGCTTGGGGGAAATCACAAGTGTTTTCATAGATTTTCTATAGAGCCCAAATGCAAATAGTTAGGGAATGTACTTCGTGTTACCAGATGTTCTGACTTGAGCAACATGTGTCATATAGGAAGCAAACTCTTCAACATGAAGAAAAGGCCTCAGTTTTCAGGAGTCCATCTCAGCTTGCCAGCAGCAATAGCAGTGTGAACAATCAGTTTATGTGAGCAGTAGTGTGACAGAACCTCTTCATATTCATTGCTGTTTGTGCCAGCGCAGTCTCTTAAAAGGGCTGTTGTACTTCCAACCAACCTAGATAGCATTAAAGAGAGAAAATTCTGAACTCATTGCTACCATCTAGTGACCATCCAGATTTTTGCAGCCCAGATTTCCTAATCTTAAATACTGGAGATAGAGCAGATAGCAGCTGTGTGAGAAGCAATGATAGAAAAAGCATTAGTCAGTGATTTTTTTAAAAAAAAAAACCTATCAAGAAATAACGTTGTTGGAAAAGCAGTCCTAGGGCAGGTGATCATTGTCAGGGGCACATAAACATTGATCCTGCAATAAATAATATCCATGCACAGGTAAGCAGTGAGAGAGTACAAGACAGTTTCTCTCCAGTACTCTTTCCCAGGAACAGGTGATGTTATTCTGCTTTCATTTAATTGGTCATAATATTGAACATCCATAGCTATCCTCCAGATAAAAGTCCCCCAATAACTGATATCTTAGGATACAACTTTTGAATCAGAATGCCTAACTGCTAAAAGATGTTTCCTTGCTTTAAAAGCACTGATTTCTAAATTTAAAAACAGTGCCACTTAATTTTGATATGGGATTCTACACTGTATGGTCATTTTATGTTGACTTTTAAAATACTTCATTATAGATATAATATTTTAGTATCACATTGTGATATAATTACCACCAAACAAACCTCTGGTTATTATTGTAAACTGAAAGATGGTATAAATGAAATATAGCTCTACAGTCTTTTTATTGAACTATTAAAATGATTCAAATGGGTACAGATTTTTAATTAGATAATATACAATCTTATGTAATTGCCCAGATACAATACTAATAACTCAGCCTAAAAAAGAAAATTCACATTAAAAAGACATTTCTGTGAAGACTTGAACTGCAAGCATGAAACATATATTTTGTATGCATTGTCCATTAACATAGTTTTTCTTTTGGCAATGTGCACATTTAATCTATGTTGTTGGCATGTATTAGAAAAAAATATTTAGTTGGGGTGTATTGTTTACATCTATCTGAAAGCCCTCTGAAAGTCCACTGATTAAAACAAAATTGCTGGTGTAAATCTAAGGATTGTTTTTCCACTTTAGCAAGTAATTTTCATGGTTTTATAAACCATCAGTTGTTTTCAGAATTGCAGTTAGAGATAATTTCTCACAGAACTATTCTAACTTAATCTGTCATAGGCCTAAATGTTTAACATTATTGTCAATATTAATTATATAGATAATGACATCAAAATACTGTAATTTAATGGCATAAGCATGATACTCTGATTCAAATTTTGTATACTTCCAGTGACATATATAATTGGATTTGTTCTCACATTTGGGAGGAACTTTAGAAATGTATGTGTGTGTATATGTATATGTGTGTGTCTGTGTGTGTGTGTGTGTGTGTATGTACGGCATTCAGCTTTGTTCGGGTATTTTCCCACGTCATTGTAGTTGTGCTTTTAACGTTGTAGCAACGTTTCGGCAGAATCTCATCTGCCATCATCAGGCTTCTGTATAGTGTTCATCTGTTCGTCAGACGAACACAATACAGAAGCCTGATGATGGCAGATGAGATTCTACCGAAACGTTGCTACAACTTTAAAAGCACAACTATAATGACGTGGGAAAATACTTGAACAAAGCTGAATAACACACACACACACACACATGTGTGTGTGTATGTGTATATGTATATGTATATAAGTATATATGTATATAAGTATATATTATTTTAACAGGAAGCCTGCTTATTTATTCCTTCATTTACTCTACTGGTATACCACCAATTCATTTACAAATTTGTGGTGGTTTATCAAACAATCATCAGCAACAACAAAATTCAAAAATACAAGTCAAGCATTCTGTACCATAATGTAGTTATCTGTATTGTAATTGCAATAATTTATAATTTACAATTTTGAAATAACAAGGAGCTATTTGAAGTTATCTTCTTAATCGAAGCCTATTTTAAGAAGCCATTGTGACATAAAGATATTTATATTATTAGAAAAGTGAGGAGGAATATTAGACTTAAAGTGAAAGGTTTTAATGCGGCAGACAATACACATATTGGTTTTCCCTCATTAGAGATTAGTTTCTCAGAACTAGTTATGTCCACTAGGGTGATATTTAAGATATTTATATTTAGGAAGTCACATTTCTCCCAAAGGATGAATGTCAGGGATGTCAGAGCAATAATCCAGGTTCCCAACCAGTCTGTTTATTTAATACTTGAGCCCAACATATGTAGACACCACAGAGAGGGAACACAAAGCTAGGGAAGGCTGTTGTATACAGAAAAAAATGAATAAAGGGGTACACTTTGCAGGTTGTGCAATCCCAATTTGATGCACAATGTTTATGTCCCAGCTGAACTTTTTGAACATGAGGCTCATTTGTTTTATGTAATTCATTTCAGTGGAAGATCTTGCTTGGATTTTATGAACAGAGCTGTACAGCTAGGAACAACATAACTTGTCTGTTTCCCCCTTAAATGACTTCCAATTTTAGGCATCTCCTTTGCTTCCTGCTTAACAAGAGATGGAAAATCCATGGTCTATATGCCATATGCAGCCAACCCAAGTCTCTCTAATCCTTGCCCAGATCATATTTGTGATAGTTTCGTTAAAAAAAAAAACAAGAGAAGAAAATAGATATGTTAAGCCTCTACTAAACTTCATACTTCTATTTTCTTTTGTTAAACAACTCCAAGGATACATTCCTCTGTTGGCTCCCATATGCAAAAAAGCAGCCCACATTTTGCTTTAGGGAACTGAAATAAAGCATAAAACTAAATAAAGAAAGAGAAAAAGCTTGTCCTGTGCCTAAAGCATTAAGATTGCTGTCCCCTGCCCTTCTGTTTGAAAAAACACAGTTTGATCTCCCTGCAAAGAAGTGAATAGAGACCACTACTATCCTTGGCAAAAATGAATATAGTGATTCCTTATCGGATTAGACACTTTCTACCTCATCCTGTGAGACAAAATTTTCCCCCTCCCCAATCCCACACTTCACAGAAGTGAAGTAGTGGTGATTCACCTTCCCTCCCTAATGCACAATCTTGTTCCAAGGAAGGTGTGAGAACTTTCCATTTTCCTGTCTTTCTTGAGGTAGCATTGATGCTAAGAAATATTCTACTAAAGTGGCCCTCAAGGATAATTGACCTTGTCTCACAGCAAAGCTCTGCTTATTTCTTGACCATATGGAGCAGGACAAAGCACACTGAAATAATATAGCCAAAGGAAGAATATTATTATGATTTGATTACATCATTAATATTATTTTCTTTGTACACCAGAAAGGGCTGTCGCTGGAATCTGACTGAAGTACTTGCAGTTTCTTAGGTAAACTTTGATAATGCTCAGTCAAATGTTTCAAAATCTGTAGGATATATCATCAGTTTGGTTGCCTTGAGAAGATAAGGTTTTCCTTTCTGAGGCTTCCAATACAGTCCTCGTTTCTTCCTCTCTAATTTTCCTTTTGAGCTTGACCTGATGTATCTTCCATTCAGGTTTGTTTCTTCACATACATTGTACCACCAACCACCTGACGTTCATAATAGAAACATCATTGAATTGATATACCAATATATTAACCACATGGAAAAATACATAAAACCTTTTAAGGTAACTAGATGACAGCAACTGTATTTTGAAGAAAACCTTTTCTAATCAGGTTATCTGGAGACAATTACATATTCAGGAGAACTTCAGGGTAATGCTTTCTGTGCTGACAGAAAGTAACATGATATATTCTTTAAATTATCTCAATCTGTGGAAAGCTATTATGTGAAATGGGCTAAAACATTGGGTTGTCTATTGTGTACTACCTTATTGCATGCAATACACTTTTTTAAAATTGAAGGGACATTTAATCCTCTTTCATATATATTTTTTATTTTTTCCTTCATTTGCTTTTTGCCTTCCTTCCTTCTTTCCTCTCTCCCTCCCTCCCTCCCTCTCTCACTATATTGTTAGTGTTTTATTCTTAGCAAAGTACATTTATGAAAATCTTACCCCCTGGCACTTTTTTCCCAGATTATAAGAAAATTTAAAACACTGGCATATACAGAAAATAATCTACCTGTGTCACTTTCTGTGCAGTTAAGCTTTCTTTCAGTGCTGTTGCTATGATCTTTAGTAGAAAATTTAATTTCTTTCTGTTCAGGTAGAGCATTTGGAATATTCCCAGTAATCCTTGAGAGAAAGAGCGCATAATCTCTGTTTGGACCTCCCATTTTGAATGTATACTCAATATAACGTTTGTTAGCTTTCCAGTCTTCAAGCTCAATACGCAGAATGTAGTCAGCTTGATCTACAATGGAATAGATCTTTTGAAGGCCCAACCAAAATTCTCCTGAAAATACAAGTGTACAAACAGAACAATTAAGGCAGATCCGAGAAGAAGATGCAAGCTTTAGTGCTAGATTTGAGAGTTGCATGAATTACACAGTCAGCTTGAGTCTTGGAAGTCCTTGAACTTTGGATCATCTACAAAAGGTTTATCCCTTTTACAATATTCATCAATGAACAATAAAGCAGGAAACTAAAGCTAAGTATAAATAGAAAAGGACTTTGAAAAAGTCTGCAAAGGACGGTAAAGGCATTCTTAAATAAAGTATACATGTAAGTGAATCTGTGTAATAAGTGAAGGGGGGGAAGAAATACCCTTAATGGATATTGAATTCATTTGCAATATTATGACACACATAAATTTTGCATTTTAAGTGGACTGTGTAGAGCATAAGCCTGAGAAGTAAACCTTATTGAATAAGCAGCATGTTTAAGAGAAACAGAGAAAAACATTGCTTAACAAAATAGAGTTTTGAACAGAATAGCTGTATGAATCTGCTACAGCAAAGACAACAGTCTTGAAACTTTAAAACTTGATATATTTATTATATAAGCAAGTTTCACTGCAGCAAGCTATGCTTCATTAATTGTTATTTTACATTGCAAACTGGCCATTAAGTTTATAACTTATGGCTTTGATCTCACTCATGTAGGCTTTATAGACTTTTCTAATTTCAAATCTGTGTTCAACGACTCAGGTTCCAAAGATGCTAAAAATCTCATCTTTTTCCTTATTTCTGTTCTATACTATTTCCAGGAAAAAAGTGTTAAACCCTAACATTCCATTTCATTCTCACCTGAAAATCTTAGAAAGGAACTGAACAAATTTCATGCCTCTTTTAGAAATGCTTGTGGCATGTGCATTAATAGAATCTATTCAAATCTACATTTATGACTAACTAGATCTGTACTTGTTTAAATCAAATCTATTTAAATGTGCTTGTAATAATTTATATGACTGGTGTCCTGTGCTTAGGAATTTAAATAGACAAGGTTGAAGGGAGGGAAAAGAGTAAACAATTCTGAGACCAACCACTTATGAAGCAAATAAGTAATCTCATTTACTGATGTCTAGGGCAGGGGTCTTCAAACTTGATAGCTTTAAGACTTGTGGACTTCAACTCCCAGAATTCCTCCTCCAGTCATGTTAGCTCAGGAATTCTGGGAGTTGAAGTCCACAAGTCTTAAACTTAGCGTGTTTGAAGACCCTTGGTCTAGGGTTTTTCTTCTCCTTTCAAAAACTATAGTCAACAAACACATAAATGTTACTTCGAGAAAACTGTAAAATATATTTACCATCAAGATTACCAAACCCATCTATATAGCTCTCCCAAGTTTGGTTGAAATCTACTGATCCATCAGATCTCTTCTGAATAATTGTCCATGGGTTTTCTGTGGATGAAGATGATTAACTATTAATACAACCATTTGATTGTTTTAAATCATTTTTAGAGCTTGCAAAGTATAATATATCTGTATGAATGCTGTACATCAGATTGTATGCAGAAGAGAGCTGGAGTACACTTTAACAAAAAAAATTATTTGCACGACGTTGACTGAATTTGCATTTCTGCATGAACTTCAATCTATCCAATTTAGTCTCTATTCGGAGACAATTATAATATGCATTTGTCTAGCCCAATTGGACAATGACTTAGTGATTTACATATTTTCTAAACTAAACAACCATCAACTATAGTTAAAAATCCAAATAACCCCGTGCTACTTATTATTTGATTAAAATTGCATTCTCAGCAAATAAGAGTGATGACAGCAAGTTTGTTTAATAAAGAAATATATAAGGAAGTCAGCACTTTGCAAAAAGGTAAGAATTTGATTTTTAAAAAGAAGACAGCTAATGTAACAGGACATACCTCCTTCCATTTCACAATAAACATTAAATGCCTTGGATCCATTGGGCTTAATAGAATAAATGCCATTAGATCTTTCCCCTGCATTGTAAATCCAAGTACAATCAGTAGCATTACCTAAAAGAAACAGAAATTTAGGAAAATCTGTGCAATATTTTCAGAATGTACATTACTTTTTTGAGCAGTAATTTAAACAAACTTTGAATCTATTTAATATTTTTTTAACATTTGGAAATAAAGGCTTATGAGAATGACATTCACATGTACTTAAATATCTTGTGGAATGAAAAAAGGGACATGACAACAGGTTATCCTCACTTACTGAATGCTCATTCAGTGACCATTCAAAGTTACAACAGTTTTGAAAAATGAGATTTACAACTAGTCCCCAAACTTGCAACCATTGCATCATCCTCACAGTCATTCATATGGTCCCAATTTGGAAATTTGGCAACCAACAAGGATTCACTATAGTCACAGTGTGTCATGGTCATCATTTGTGACCTTCTCCACTGGCTTCCAACAAGTAAATGGGGAAGCCAACAGGAAGTCGCATGTCACGGCCACATAACACTACACTTAACTACCCACAGTGTGTTGATTAATGATTGCAGCAAAAACAAATGGCTTAAGTTGGGTGCAGTCATGTGATATATAGCAGTGATTAAAAAATAATAAATTACAAGCCAGTTTGATAAAAACAGCAGCAGGAAATCGCAGGATGACTATCCTAAGGCAAAGAGATTTTTTTTTTCCATAACTTCCAAAAGCTTTTAGTGAGGAAATGAGACAAGTCTATCTGATAGCATGAAGCAGATCAAGGTTCTCTGGAATTGTAGGGACAAACAAGGAGTCCTCTGAAGATGATTTTTGTGGATTTGCAGTTTGATATAGAATAGGGAGCCTTTCAAATATTCTGACTTCAAACTATTCCTATTTGTCGTCAAAGCCATGGTTTTCCAGTTTCAACATGTGGCTAAAAACTAGACCACCAGAAAGTCTGAATTAATTAAAACTGATGGCTTTGAATTATGGTGCCGGAGAAAATGGTTGAAAATGCCTCTTTGTAAGAAGAACAAATAATTCAGTTCTAGATGAAGTGAAATCTGATTGCTTTCTGGAAGCCATAAAAGTGCTAAAATTTTGGTCACATAATATGAAGATAAAAGAGTAATTAAAGAAAATCCAGAATACTTGTAAAAATCAAAGGCATTTGAAAAGGAACCAAAGAGAAGATAATGTGCCACTAACAGAAATATGAACTTTAAAAAATTCCTAAAAAAGCCATTACTGGCAGACAAAATAATGTTAATCAAGTCATAAATAGACAACAACAAACCATTCAGGACTTTAAAGATCTTTGCCAGAACTCTGAATTGTACCCAGAAAATAGCTAGAGGCTAGTACAGCTGTTTCAATAAGAGAATCATGGGAGATTGAATAGAATGTCTTGTTTTGGAGGAAAGGATTAACAAGAACACTTAATCTTATTTCAGGAGATAGGTAAGACACAACTTTCTATTTCAGATCTCACCTTTATTTTTAACTAAATGCTTTTTAGTGTTGTTGGGAGAATAATAAGCATAATCAATCAAATCTGTTTCTTACATGCACACTATTGGTATCAAAGCATACACCAGAATAGTATTCTAAAATAGTGCTGTATTCCAAACACTAGAATTACTTTAAAAAAAAATCCATAAGCACATCTACCTCTAGAATTTCTATTTTTAGCTGTTTTTTTCAATTTAGGAAGTCTGTCATCTTCCTTCGCAGAAAATAACTGTGAGTCCTCTTGAAAATTGGGGCTGTTTATCTGAAAATAGAAAGAAATTACTTCTACATCTATACTTCATTAGTCAGGCAGGTTACCTGTTCTCAGAACACTTTGGAGCTCAAATTATTGGAGCACCAGGGTTGGGCAGGGAGGGAAAGACAAGAGTCCCTTTATCTTTGTAGGCCAGGAAAAAATTTGGGGACAAAAATTCTTGCATACGTCTGTTCTGACCACCTATATTACATTCAGAGTTGTGATATGAAACTATGAAGCTGCATGCTTGAGTGAAAGCTATGTCTTCTGCCAAAAAAAAAGTTATCAGAAAGGAAAAAAAACATGCAAAGAATTAATTTTGACTAGGGACAGCAGTATCAACCATGTCATGTGATGAAGTTAAACTTAGCCATTTTAGGGCTAAAATACCTGGAGAAAACTAACTGTTCCCATCTAGTAGTTGTTCAAATATTTGCAGCCCAAATCTGGTATATTAAGATAGCTTCCTTTAACCAATTCAATGAGCAGTAAATTCTTTCAACTAGAAAACACTAGACTTTTTAAAGAGCTGCATGGGTGGTATTCATACACATGCTAATCCATAATCCATAATTTATCTAGACAGTGACTGAATTCACATAATTTGTTGACCAAACAAACCAACTTATAATTTGCATGATATATGAACCCAGTAATTGAATCCTCTTATGATACACAGAAAATGAAATCTGCAATCCTAAATATGTGTTCTGATGAAGCTCGTTTGAATGCAACAAGCCTTAAACGTGAATAAAAATCCTCTGCGTTCTCATATTAAATATGGCAAACTCAAGTATAGTTAGAGTTCTCAATCCTGGCTCTTTAAATAATTGTACCTTGGTTGTTGGTAAACTTAATCTTTCATATATAGGAATGAGATTATGAAAGCTGAAAGTTGGAGTCATTAGACTATGTAGAAATTACTGTATAAAAACTTTCTGTAAGCTGCGGTTTTCTTTCCTTCTTATAAGTCACTTGAACCCTTAGAAATTTCACCTAGATTAGAAATTGCTATTAAAATTCAGCAATTTTACCTTTTCCTCCAGGTCCTGTATTTGCTCTTGCTGTTTTGTGAGCTGAGCATGTTGTAATTGAACAATTTTGAGAAGGTGTTTGAGGTGGCCATCTTGCTGTTCAACAAAATTCTATAGAGAAAGCAAAAACAATAGCTTAGACCTAAAGGATCATAATCTGAAGCATAAAATATATCTATATTACTTTTTGCAGAAGTATAAGCAGCAGAGGTTTTATACAAGAGCTTAACCAGATAAACTCATTACCTAGTGTTATTTGCCAAACCAGAAGTGCTTCTCCAAGTAGATGGGCAAATCAGTTTTCTCAAAACTATTGCCTTATGTTTTAATAAATGTTTGGCAATCACAATCCATGTAGAAATCCTTATGCCAGCTGTCTCAAAAATCCATTAAATATATCCATCATTGGGCACGTTTAAAAATATACTTCCATTTCTCCAGTTGAGTGTTCTGTTGCCCATCTTCCCACTCATTTCTACCAAAATCACTGTACTTTTTTACACTATAATCTTACATGGGTGAATATTACAAAATTTGTTTATACTTATAATGAAGATTGGAACTCTCGCCCCGTATGTATGTATGTATGTATGTATGTATGTATGTATGTATGTATATTCTTTTTTTCTTTTCTCTTTCCCTATTATTACTCTTGTGACCAAAATTAATAAAGATTATATTCAATATATACGTATAATAAAATGGTTTTCGCTACTTGGCCTATTCCAGGCACACTGAATTAAAATTTTTATCATTTCTTGGCCAGTGTGTCCTTAAGTCATCTCAATATATGTTGAAAAGAACCATAGTCCAATATACATGGAAGGCCTCAAGTTTAAGAAATTGACATAGGCTAGTATAGTAAGCTTTCCCTAGGGTGCAGTCTTCTGAAGTTTATGGATGAAAAATGAGGATAGCATACAGTATGTTTGATTGATAGATTATGTGTCATCAAATTGCTGTCAGTTAGTGATCATTTATGTAACACTCTTCAGAATAATCAGTCCCCATATGACCCTTCAAGTCTTCTAATAACACTATCCATTATCTCTGTAATCAAGTCTATCTATTTTATTGCTGTCATCTTGTCTCTTTCCTTCCCCTTTTCCTAGCATTGTTGTCTTCTCAAGAGAGCCAGAGGTGGTATTCAGAAGGTTCTGACCAGTTCTGGAGAACCGTTAGCTGAAATTTTGAGTAGTTTGGAGAACCGGCAAATACCATCTCTGACTGGAGATTTTACAGTATCCTTCCCCTGCCACGCCCACCAAGCCACGCCCACAGAACTGGTAATAAAAAAATTTGAATCCCACCACTAAAGAGAGCTAATGTTCCAAAACAATATTTTGAACCTGCTCATCTTCCATGTTGAGCTGTAATCTGCAGTGGATAATTCTAAGCATTGTGAAACACATAAAATACTGTATATTGTGTGACAGTTTGCACATTCTGCTAAGGTTCCTTTTGACTGACCCTTTCTAATCTTAGCATACCAATTTGAGACAAGAAACTCCTGAGATTAGAAATGCTTTGGAAGATTTTGGTTTTTTTGTGCCCATATTCTATATGCTTAAAGTTATCATCATAATACTGCTTTTAATTCATGGACAGTTTCTCCTTGAATTTTTTTCTTCTTTGATTTTTCTCTTCCTTTTGTTGCCATTTCTTCTGATATCCAGTTTGCTTTCTTCTGATTCTCAGCCTTGGCAATCTCTTTTCAAATTCATCCTTAAAAACTTACTTTGATTAGATTCCTTATTCTTCTGGTTCTCAATGAAGTTCAGGACTTCAAAGCAGTTCCTCATGTTCTCCTTGATAATGGTGAATATATGCTGAAGATTATATCATGGAAATGGATTGGCTTAGTAGTTCCACTTTGAGTTGGACATGAGCAGTTTTTAATCTATTCCACAATCAATCCTAGCCATGTCATTATAATTGAGCTGTTCCATCTTCTTGTACTAATAATGTAATCAATTTGATTTTGGTGTGCATCTTCAACTAAAATCCATGTGCAGTATATAGACATCATTTTGATTGAAGACTGATGATAAAGAACTCATTGGATTGCCAGAAATTCTCCTGCTTCATTTTCTGACCTAGGCAATTCAGTCCAATTATATATTTCTTCTTAGTATTTCCAACTTTGGCACTCAACTCTCCAGCCTGCTGCTTGAATATTCTATTGATTTTAGGTTGAACTTGATCACAAAACGCAGCAGCCTCCTCTCTTTCTGCATCAGTGATTGGTATATAAATTTGATAATCATATTAAAAAGTTGTCCACAAAGCGCAGTGGATATTATTCAGTTGTTGACTGCATTGTCTCCAAGTGCTATCTGTGGTATATCTTTCAGGAAAGCATTGTTTTTATTTATTTATATGTTCAGTTTTGGACAGCCTTTTCACATTTCAGAGCTGTAAACAGTATGGTCTGCTAACTCAAACTGTACCATTCTAGTCCATTTCAGCTAATGGCTAAAATATTAATGCATGTACCAAAATTACACTGTATCTCAGAAATGTATTATTGAAGCTGGCTGTAGAAATAAGCAAATGTTGTATTCTTATTTTTAAAATGATCTTTCAAATTTTACTGGCCAACTTCAGTATATAAAATCAGATTAACAACTTTAAGATGCAATTTTTATGCCTGGAATTGAGCTGTAGGTTTTGAAAAGTGAAGGAATGTCAATTTCTTCCTTATGAACTGTACAAATGAATTATTTAAAAAGCACATACCTATTAGCATTATAGGGTGAAGGAAAAGGCAGTTTGCTAACTTTATTATTCTTTTTTTTTGGCATAAAATTATCACTTGTTAATTACATCTTTTAGTTTAAATATTCACAGTTAAGCCAAACTCAAAAGTAGTAACTTACATTGTATGTTAATAAGGCAAACTGCCAGAGCAATTTTTTTTTCAAGAAGCAGTCATTACTTTATTTTTAAGACTTTTTACATGCTATATATTCCCTTAATGGCTCTGGGTAGCATTCAAAGCACAATAAAGCAGCATTAAGAAAAAAGCTGGTTTTATTCCTTAAAAATGCAGCACATTAGTCCAAAAGCAACAGGAATGACTAAATCTTTTTGAATTACCTCATTACACAGAATACAATTTACTTTGGCAATACTCAGTATGTTTCATTTCTACTTACTTTAAGTGAGGCAATTTCTCTTGACTCATGGATATCAAGCTGGGTCTGTACAAGTTCAGTTATTTTTTCTTCAAGTTTCCCTAATTTATTCTTCAGTTGAATCTTCTCAATGGAAAGGACATCTATTTTGGAATTAAGCTGCAAAGATTCGTTTCTCATTTCTTCCTCAGTTGCTTGCAATCTAGTTGTGGCTTTTTTTAACTGTTGTTCTTCTTCTTTCATTTCATTGGTTTGTTGCAAGATCTCAGAAAAAGATTGGTCAAAAATGTTAAGCCTTTGAAAGATGTCATCCATTTGGGTTTTGGTTTTGATCACAAAGTCTTGAAGGCCACGCCCAAGCTGGAGTAGTCCAGTGGCCAGCAAATGCACATCATCAGACATAGCAAATCTTGACTTAGGCTCAGGAGTTGCTGATTCCAAGTGATCATCTAGTCTACCTGAAATTACTAGAGAAATCATAAAGACTAATACTAGAATAATTTTCATGTTCTTTCTGCTTATTCTAGTTCGGAAAAGAAATGTCCCCCTTTGCTATTTGTCTTTCTCTGGGAGAGTTCTAGTATGCCTATAAATACATATAGCATGTTCAGTCCTAAAAAAAAAAAATTCAAGTTGAGGTAGTTGATAATTAAACCTGAATGAATGTAACCTGTGTCCTGTTTGGGCTCTGTGAGCCCATCTGATGAACATTTCCTGATAGCAAATGTTAATGCTAAGTGTAAATAAGGGTTACCTTTAAAGATGACTTGGAACATTCAATTGATATAGAACTTGGCAACGTGAATGTGGCTGTCAGTTTACATGGCACACATATTATGCCAGCTGTGCTATTTTAACTTTGAAAGCTTTGAGCAATTTGGAATAACTGATACAGATCTTGCCATGTCCATTCATTTATCGTCACGCATGCTGTTCAAGACGCACAACAGAGGTCTTTCTTTTTAGTCTACCCTAAGCATATAAGCTGGTAGTCATGAAGGACAGGAGCAGTGGTCCACATCTTTGGGATATATAATTAGCAAGGATCTTCAAATCCTATTTTTGCTTCAAATATGGATATAATTATTCCTTTATTATTTTGACTGGCAAGGTCATCTATCATTCAGCAAATGAGAGTTAATAAAACTAGCATTTTTGAAAAAAATAATGAGATCTGGTTGTTGTTAACGTTATATGAAAAATGTGTACAAACAACAAAAGAATTGGCAATTTTTTCCAACAAAGATGGAAACTTCACAAGGAGGTTTTTTAAAATATAAATTTTCCCATCTGATTTGAAATTCTGTGATATTTCCAATGCGCTCCATAGTGCCATTCCTTCCCAGAAACCCCAATAGTCATTGTAACATTCTATCTATACAGATTTTTAAGCCAATGCATGAATATTGAATGTAAAGATTACTAAACTTCCAGCCTAATTTATTAAGAGCAAATTTAGTCTGTTTTGATATTGTGGATTAAACAACATGAAGGAGCCACTATGTTTGTGGTTGGTTGATTTGTATATTGCACATATTGTAGAATAAAATAATTCACAGGCATGAAAAGGCATGAATCAAAAGCTTTTATAATAATATTCTCTCCATGGAGAAAATATAATAAATAGATGTTTATAATAGTTTCAAGAAATAAGGAGAGGCCTATGTCATCTTCATTGTAGATTTAAATTTGAGTGTTAATTTAAGGGAATCACTGGTTCATAACATAAGTGTAATTCTATCACTGCCAGCTTTTATTGAGGGTGATCAATTTTTATCCTTCTCTCCCCATTCAACAGATACCTGGAAACAGAACCAAAGAATAAATCAAAGTTAGCTGTGCTTAGTTCACATTGAAATCAATAAGAATTAAGTTGTTCCTAATTTACCCAATTGATTTCATGGGTCCTAATCAACTAACTAATTACAGGCTTATGTGTCAGCTAACTTTTATTTGTCCCTGCAGCTTTTTATTATATCTGGCTAAGTAGTTTCCATCTCCTATTATTTGATGCATGGTTTTATAATTCATCAGCCACAGATAACTCAGATAACCTAGTCACTATGTAATTTTTATACTTTTTTCTCTCTCTCTTATTTTGTAGAAATCTTCTATATGTCTATCCACAAAGCCTTAACTTTGCCAATCGCCAAGGATCTGCTCGGAATATTACTGTAAAAGTGCAGTTTATGTTTGGAGAGGATCCAAGCAATGCAATGCCGGTATGTGTGTGTGTGTGTGTGTGTGTGTGTGTACTTGTTCCATTATGATTTTGATGCTGTAAATTATCTATTCTGTGTTTTATACATTAGATGCACATCAAAATGTTGTGCTATACCAGGCTGCACTCCTGCTGAGACACAATCAGACTGGATCACTGGTTTCTCAGACTTTTTAGTTATTCAAGAATTTGTTACTTCGCACTTTATTTTGTTTTTAATCCTTGTTATTTTAAATCTACTCAACGGCATTTCTGCACTTTTCCATTTGTAACTTAATAGGGTTAACTTGCTGAAATGTTTGTGATCCAAGTTTTATCTGATTTTGGTTTTACTATTTATGGCATCTGAACCCTTGAAAGCCACCTTGAGTCACTTGGTGATTAAATGAGTAATAATTACACACTTCTGCACATAGTTCACACCACTCAATATGCAGCAAATATACAAAATTTATTTTCTTTTGAAATATTAATAACTTTCTGCAGCCAGTATTCTTATTTTTAACAAGTCAGTATTGATATAAACTAAATTATATGAAATATAAACTAAATTATATTTTTCAAGGTTATAAGTATATGCCGCATAAATAGATATCTTGATACACATTTTTGACTTAGTAAATTTTCCCGTTCTGAAGAATAAAGAGTGTTTTTTGAAAATACATTTGATCATTTATTTTTATAGGTAATCTTTGGAAAATCTAGCTGTGCTGAATTTTCAAAAGAAGCTTATACAGCTGTTGTTTACCATAACAGGTAAAAAGCAGAAACTTTCTGAAAAGCAACTTTTTTATTTCATTCGACACTGTATATCATATTGTGAGATCAGAAACAAAACATATTCTGTACTCATATGTTACAAAGATGAACTCGGGATAAGAAGAATTTCATACTTTTGATTATAATGAAGCAGAGATTCTGCAGTTGTCTAGCCATGATCATGTAAGTACAGATAGTCTTTGCATTACAATGGCAATTAGGACTGGAATTTCTGTCGCTAAGAGATGTAGCTGTAAAGCCTGATGTCACGTGACTACATCACTTAATGCTGCAATCCCAGTAATCTCTATTGCCATTGTTAACCATATCCCACTGGTTGTTAGCTAAGGACCCACCCCAAGTCAAGCCATTCCTGAATTGGTTCCACCCAGCCTCACCAAGTCTTGGTAAGGTAAGGGACTACCTCGTCTTCAATTCCACCTACTCTCCTATTTCCCTCAGGTCTCTGCCCTTTTGGCTGTCTTGCATTATGCTATCTCTATTGGCCTTGCTGCCTTCTGCTCTCTGGCCCTGCCACTTTGCCAATCTTGTTGCCCCTGGCTGACCTTTGCCATCTTCCTCTGGTTACTGATAAGGCACGCTCAGCCTGGTCTTTGTGAGGCAGCTGCTGGCTGCTCCAGGCCTTCTTCCAGAAGTGGTGCCCATCTCATATCTGAATTGTGTGCGGCTTTTTAGAATGCACAAAAGAAGGCCTTAGATGTACAGCATGAAAGAAGGGTCCAGCTAAATGGACCATCTTTTGCACTGATGCTGCGAGGGCCTTCTTCTGTGCACCTGCTTTCCAAAACCTGATGAGAAGGCCACATGCGATTTGGATAAGGCCATGTTGGATTTGAACAAGGGAAGAAGGCCCAGTGTAGCCAGCAGCTACCTTGTTTGACGAGGCCAGTCCAGGCACACCTCATCAAAAGTGACTGAAAAACATAATGAAAGTCAGTTGGAGGCAGCAAGGATACCAGGGCATGGGAGGACCAGCGAGTGTAGGCTGGCAGGGTCAACAAAAGAGCCAAAAGAGCAGAGATAAGGAAGATCTAGGCAGATGGAGGGAACTGAGGTGCCCCTGCAAGCAGCACACTACCAAGCATCTGAATTTTGATCATGTGGCCATGGGGATGATGCAATGGTTGTAGTTTTGAAGACCAAGCATAGCTACCCTATAACTTTGAAGAGTTGCTGAACAAATGGTTGTAATTCTAGGACTAACTACATGTATCTGAATAGCATCTTGTTCATAATCCTTTTCCTTTCATAATCCCATAATCATGATGGTCTGAATTGCTGAAATTATGGCTTATGCACAGAGAGAGGTCACATCTTCTGCATATGTGATATCGCATGAAAAGGAATAGAAGCCTTTTTCTCCCTTTGCACATGATTAGGAGGCTGAAGAAAGGAGAACGTTTATTAGTAGAACAAATCAATGAAATATTTATTGTTGTGAGCAGGAGCTGGAGAATAATCGTAAGAGTGAATCTGTCATCTTGTAGTATTGAGTACATCTAAAAACCTTGTAGTATTTTCTGAAATAGTTAACTAACTAAAAAAATGCAGATGAATGTAGGGAAAATACATCATCCCATAGAAAAAATAAAAATCTCAAAATAGGAAATTATCCCAGGAAATCTTTCTTTTGGCATTTTATCTGAAAAGGTTCTCTTTAACTAATGCAGTACAATAATTGAACACTGTGGGAAGAAGCCTTAAGCAATTAAAACTACAATCTGTAGCTCCTTGAAAGGGTCTTCCACGGACCACAAGATTTTCTGGGTTTTCCTCTCAGGTCAGAGAGAGCACTCCAACCTCGGAGAGGGAGAACTGCCAAGATTAGGTTTGTTTCATGGGAAAGTTTTTGTTTGGAAAGAATCCCAAAGAGGCCATATGATCTACCAGGAAGAGCTTTGGTTCTGAAGCTGTTGTAAATAATCTCGAAAACTGCCTTCAGTGAGAGGGTATCAAATGTAGTGTTGATTGAGGGATTGCAGAATGTCGCGTGTAACTTTATGATCTATTGCCAGCATGACTTTGGAATTGTTGACAATTGTCTGTTGCAGTCCCCAAAGTTCTTTCTCAAAAGGCAACTGGAGTTTGTTTTTCCATGATAGCGTTTCACTTCTCAACCAAGACGCTTCCTCCATTCTGAGTGAACAGAAGTGAGGAAACTTCTTGGATGGGAAGCGAACTGTCTTCAAGGAAAAAGCAGGATATAGGGCTGCTTTATAAACGAATCAAACTAAGCTTTTTGTTTACAAATAAAATCTCTATTTACCTCAAAACAGATCTCCTGATTTCCATGAAGAAATCAAGATCAAGCTTCCTGCTACTCTAACGGACCATCATCACTTGCTTTTCACTTTCTACCATGTCAGTTGCCAACAGAAACAAAACACCCCACTTGAGACTCCTGTTGGCTACACGGTAAACAGCTGCCACAAAACGTCTTCCATTCCTTCTTGCCTTCATGTTGACCTTCAGCATTGCAGAATTCATTTTGATTGATACTGTTTCCGTACATGTTAATTTGGAATAACGCTTAAGTCAGTTTTTGTACATTTCTGATTAATTGTTTTAATTCTTTTACATGGCTTTGTTTG